TTACTATTGTTTATGCTCAATGTTGTTATTGTTCGAAGTTAAAAGACACAAGAAAAAGATATTTTTTTTGGTTAACGTTATACTAACTGTTATGATTTATGCTATATTCAGATTCCTTAGGCACCGTGCCCACCTCGAAGAATAATCTTCACTGGTTAACCTTTGCCCTGACCCAACCTACTCCCGTTGTAGAGGAGTTTTACAGTGTGAGGGTACGGAACGGACGCCGGCACACTTGGTGGTGACGAAACTTACGCCGCTGATACCCGCAATGGGCACCAGAAGGAATATTGCTGAATGACACACAAACCAGGTTGTCCAAGTATGTCCAAGTATCGTACAACGGGGTTTTGCGCATACTCACCAACGTTTGCACAAACGTTTGCACAAACGAGTTACAATATGAGGTGTATATTATTATTCCACGTGTTGTCCAAGTATGTCCAAGTATCGTACAACGGGGTTTTGCGCATACTCACCAACGTTTGCACAAACGTTTGCACAAACGAGTTACAATATGAGGTGTATATTATTATTCCACGTGTGCCAATAACATTGGAAATGTTATTTTCCAACTGAGACTCCAATACGTGATACCTGTTCAGACTTGGTAAACCTCTATTAATTTTTATTTCTCGCTGGATGTAAAAAAACTGACACCTGGATTTTTTATACTTAATTCAAGTATAAAAGTTGGCCCATCAATGGTCGACTGTGTAAAGTGCTCGACTTCAAAAAACTCCTGTACATTCCTAAACTGTTTAAGTCGATATCCTTCGAGTTATTCATAAAGTACTCATCATTACCTATCCGAAAATGTATCATTCCCACTCGGAAAACAAAAAACAACCGAAATAAATGAGATTAAAAATGAAGAAAAGTTGGCCCATCAATGGTCGGACACGTTACAATAGAAGGCAATTTTTGGACAAAGAACATTCGGTCACAACTTGTAAAAATTCTCACTAAAATACATTTTCTCAGCATCATCCAGAGTGCTAAGGAAACTTTACTCATCATTAAGATTAATGACCTCAATACGAAACTCGCTACAGTAATGATGTCATCTGCAGACGACTCGGCGCTGCCATCGCTCAGTAAGATGCATTTGGGCATGCGCGACAGCTCGTCCATCAAGCGCGCTTCCTTCAGCTCGAGCGACACGGTACGTTGCATCTCACTACTCTCCACTGCGCTGAGCATCTCCATAGCGGAGTTCAAGACATTGTGTGGGCACGGCATGACAAGTGCCAGCAAATCGCGGCGGTCAACAAGCTTCGACGTGAGGAATCTTGTACGTATTGTCTCCTTGCTGACTCATCACTTCGACCAAATAGCTTTGGAGCGACAAGAAGGTGTGGATGATGCGCTCTATCGGGTACTCCACAAACTCTTCCTTGATGTTTGCAATCAGATTGTTCATGTAGAACGCCGACTTGCGGTACTGTAGGGCTTGGATTGCGGGAAAGAAGCCAAGGTCCAAGTACTTATTTGTAGTCGTAGTTAAGCATTGCATAGTTTTCAGACATTTTTGGTTTGCAGTATGCGTTTTCAATACTCTCTTATCTGCAATAGTACGGGGTTCGGTATTTTGAAGATAGGAATTAGTGCATGTGCTTATGGGGTCCACTGAAATTAGGAACAGCTCGGGTAGAAACCTTTTAACTATGCTAATACTAAGTCGCGCATCTAAACTCAGTAAGGCTGTGGTCTTTGACGTGTTGGCTTGAAAGTAGTTAGCTCCACCTCGCAGGAACATCCAATAGCCTGCTGTTTGATACGTGACATGTATGTCAGATTGCCCCCCGTAGTCCTGTCCACTTCTGCTCGATACAAACGTCCTTTGGTCGTCATACGTCCTCGCCAATCGGTTGTGGAGATCCATCACTCGCTGTATCGTGTCAGTATGCCGCGAACTGAACGCTGTATTTCGTTGGTGTTGAAGTTGCTTCTCGCTGGTGTGCATGTAGATTTGGGCAAAACTTGGTGCCGCTTCTATTCAGGCTGGGCTGAAACGGACCAATGTGTGAGTCAGCTGACCTTGAATACAATACGTCTTCGGCCGCTGCTGCTGTGCTTGACATCGTTGGTTCCAATGGAAGTGAAGTTGAACTGAGCGTTGTACTGACGAAAGCGCTCCATGAAGTTGCGCTGCTTTGAAGAGATCTTTGAACGCGTGCATTTCCGTCCAGTCGGGGAAATCGTAAGGATCCATCTTGACCTTGCCCTTAAAAAAACAGGGCAAGTTCTTGTAGTCGTGGGATGTCAACTTCTCTCGGCAGTGCGGGTACGTCGTCGTTTTCCCAGAAACTTGGAGCTAAGTGTGGCCGCCTTCCTCAAACACTTCGTACGATTGCCGTCCTACGAAATTCGCAGGGTTTCAGCATGGAGAATCGCATCTTGGGCGGGATCGTGAGGAAGGAACGGTGGATCTTCGCCAAGGTCGATGTCGTGCCTCCTCGATGAATTGAACATCCCGATGAATGACCCTAGGTTCATCCAGTGGTTAAAAACGGATGCAGATCGTTCGTCGGATGAAGGCCGTTGTCGTTGAGAACCCCCCAAATCAATTTTATCGTGTAGTTTCAATCGTCCAATGGCCGAAATGGACGCGGGTTGAGTTCAACGTCCACAATCGCCATCTCTTCACGTCTCATCGTCGGTCCTTCTGGTATGATTCGAGGCTGAGCGGACACAAACGTCATCAGGAAGTCTTCCACCTGCGGTTGTTCATCAGCTTGACGCATTTAAGATTTATTCGCACGCTTGGTTTGTTTTCATGACGCGCTATTTCTCTCGGTACAACTTTGCCCATCCAACAGAGCTTGTTTGTTTTGGCTTGCAATGGGGCTCCGTTGCGGTCTGCATACTCCGCAACTACACCATTCCCATACTGCCTAACGTAGGGCAGTAGAAGTCGGCTGGCTAATTCGGGGTCCTCCTTGGTTTTTTCCTCCTTGGATAAGCCAACAGATTGTGTTGCAACAATTCGTGGCGGGCTTCGCTCCACGCATCGGTCAGAGATGTTCACCGTCTGCAGTAGTGTTCGGTAACTGCCACACTGTCCTTGTTATCTTGAACGCCACCACGTCAACGCCGTCATTTCTGACTTCGCCTTGGGTGGCGCCTTTTGTTGGCATTTACTTTGGTCGACATTTTGTTGCGTTCCATAGCCGCACCTGATTCGCCCGTGCCATTCGGCTCTAGTTAGCTTCCATCAGATTCACGTTTCCGTTCGCTGGCTTGGCCGCGGCCTTAGCTTCCGATTGGTTCCCTAATCTAACGTATCAGTGCCAGAATAGACCTTGCCATTTGATTTCTCGACTAACTGCATGCTGATAGTTATGGTGGTTTGATACGCATCCTAATATAGGATCTACTTCACCCCCCAGACGGTAAACTTTATGCCCCTTAAGGAATCTCCCTGGGCTTGCAAGGCTATTACATGATTATCCGACCGAGGATACCACGGACGCAGATTCACGTTATACGCAGTATGACACAAATATACCAAGATATAATGGAAATCCACTCTACCTGAAAGGATTTTTCGCAGGTAGGACAAAGGAATAAATTCACTTATCGTTTCACGCGAAGTCCACTACGCAAATTCCACCTGGCTATTCCGACCGAAGTCGGGGGAATAATTGCACGCTGTAAAAACTACAGAGCAATGCTTGAGTAGTGCTACGGAAACCGTAGGGAGCAACTTATTGTCGGGATAGGCACAGTGTGCAACGGACTCCCCGTGTGTGCTGCAGTGCGTTTCGTAGATCCGTCACTTTGGACCCCTTCATACACGAGAACCGAACTTCGAAGAAGTTCCGAAGGCTTTGTTGTCCGAATTCCCCAGGAGGGATCCTTGCGGAAATAATCCGGCGAAGCCGGGGATCGAACCCACGACCTTTGAGTTAACAGTAGGACACCGATGCTCTACCACTGAGCATGCTGTTGGATTATTTGCGCGGCCTAACGTTACATGCAATATGTTTGACTGGAATTATACCACGTGCAAACCCTCCAAATTGGCGCACGTAGATTGAAACACGTGCAAATACGCCACTTAAATATAACCATGCATGTACATGTACACCAAAAACCACGTGTTAAAACCCACGGCCAGTCGAGTCGAGTGGACATTTGGGGTTAGTGAAGTATTTCCACGACCAGTGGCCGCATTTCGTGTTCTGGCCGTCCGTGATGACAGTGCTACCGGACATGGCCATTTGCATATCGTTCAGTTCCTGCACATCCACCGTCCAATCGACGGCTGTACGACCGCTTCAATGAACGACGCCGCGCCAAATGGCCATCTGGAGGTCGTCGAATTCTTGCATCACGAGCGGTCGGAAGGGTACGACCCCCAGACGCTGCGGCTGGCGATTGGGAGAGGACATCTAGAGATTGTGAAGTATTTTTGTGATACGGTTAGTCCAGCTAAGACCATGGCGTGGCAGGTGAAGGGCACTCTCCCGTCGACGACTTCGTTGGTCATGTTTGAGTACTTGGCGCTCGAGGCTATAGAGTACTTGACTATCCATTCGAATGGGTTCTGGTCCAACGCGAGCAGTGCAGTACAGATGGCTCGATCTGGTCCAGAAGAATGGGTCTCGTGAATGCGTAGCGTTCGATACGGTGGTGACGTCGATGCAAAACGCTGTGGGTCTAGGACATGTGCTTATAGTCGACTACTTGTGGGGTCTTCTGATGCTGACGCGGCCAACTCAACAAGTCAAAGCTGCCAGTTCCTTTATCGACCAGATTAGTCCATGAAGAATGCGTTCAAGGGGCCATGGGGACAATTGAACTGGCAGACCTTCCCAATGTCGTCCCAATATCTGAGGTGCAAATGGCAGGTGCTCCTGCTCCAATTGTGGACGAAGGCCACGCCACTCTGGCTGTCGTGGGGTGGTCATTCTCATCTACGAGTGCCCCTTCGACTACGGCGGGATGGTCATTTGGGGCCAGATAGCAACAATTAGTATTTGTACTAGTTAGTATATACTAACTAGTACTAATACTAATACGTATTAATATACTAGTAGTACTAATAATATTGCCGTTGTCTTAGCCGTGCTCTTAGACATGGATTAGCCAGAAACGAAGAAAAGAAGCACAATACTATTAATAGTAATAATGATATATAAATCTGTGAGTGTTGTCACATCATACTGATGATCACTTCCAAACCCCAGGATCATTTATCCCTCCTTTATTTGCAAGTAAATGCGTAGACAGTTCATTCCTTTTAACAGTTTCCTTGCGAGTATCCGAAGAAAGCACATATCAAGTTATACAGTTTATTTTGCTGGGTTTTGGCGGCGCGCTTGAGAGATAGATGCAAGTCGACCCAGACCACGACAATGTGCACGACGGCAACGTGTCCGACGTTGACAGAGAAACCGAGATTGACGATGACGCAGTGGACCATGGAGAGGATTCTGCTGACCAAGACGAGAAACAAGTAACCGAGGCGAAGGAAGACGATACGGCAGACGACGAGTCACATGCTACCCTTGAGCAGGTAACGTTACTGTCCGCCACACACTATGTAAGGTGGACACACCCCAATGAGACCACGCGTAGGACGTCTCCGTGACAAAGCTAGCGAAGCCTCTGTCGGCCTACTTTCACTTTTTAGCGGCAAATCGCGCCATCGTTGTCGCCGAGAATCCAGGACTTGGCATCGGTCCCGTGCAGAAGATTCTCAGCACGAAATGGAACGAACTTTCTGCCGAAGCGAAGGAAGTACGTAGGACCCTGTCTCTTGTTGTTGTAGCGTACTCATGCGTGTCCTAGCCATTCACCACGATGGCCGCGGCGGACAAGGAGCGCTACCTCAACGACAAGCAATCGTTGATGGACCAGGGCATCGACATCGAAGCAGCCCCAAGAGTCCCTCGCAACGACGAGTCCTTGTTGACTCTCCCAAGCGGTACTGTATTCACATACCTTCCTTCTATCATATCGAAGTTCACGTCGGGGGAACACGTTAGCCCGGGTCAAGCGCATCATGCTCACCGACCCCGACGTTAATAAACTCTCGAAAGACTCTGTGCTTGCTGTGACCAAAGCCACTGTACGTCGAATACCACTTGTCGTGTTTAAAGATTATGAAACATGCGACAGAGTTCTCCTCATTTGGAAGTCGTTGTAGGAGCTATTCATTCACTTTTTGGCGACCAAGGGCCACGACAGCGCGACCATTTCCAAGCGAAAGACAGTCAAGGACAGCGACGTGCTCACTGCCATCCATTCCCACGCAGTGCTCGACTGGCTCCGCGACGACTTTCCCGAGTCGAAAAAGGTCCCCGTGGCTGCCAAACTCTCGAAAAAGTCTGCGGCTCATAGTAATGTGGCGGCCACCGAAGCTTCGCCGTCGTCGTCCTCCTCTGCCAAGTCCAAGATCACGTCCTTCTTTTCAAGAGATTAACTAACCTATGCTACTACTAGTAAATACTACAGTACTACTACCAATGATGCATACATCAGACAACATCTATTGTGTGTGGCTCGCAGGAAGGCTAGCAACCACCCACCAACCACCACCACCCTGTATCTCCTCGATCGTTGCTACCCAAACCACACTAACGTAAATGGCCAATGAACGAGACCTCGTCGTAGTATTCAGGTTACTCGTCTCTGAGGACCGGGAATTCAATTCTGAAAAGTGCTGCATCAAGCCGAATGGTTGGGCATTCTTCTGATCATTTAATTGGCTTGAATAGACTTCACCTTTGCGTTTATTTACTTCTCTTTCCACTCAAGCCAAGCCAAAAGGCGATGGATGTATGTGTTTTTGCTTATTTTTGGTGATTTCATTTTTCTGATGATTCGATTGGCTATTCCAAAAATCAAGCAATGCCATTGGCCATGTGCATCATAACCTGACCATCTGCGATAGCATAAATATTCCGAAAAGATATTGAATCCGACACCCATTCATTGGCTAATACTAATATATTATTTCAGAAGCCTGATTTAAAATGAACTTGTCAGCCCTAATTCCACGAATTCACCTATCAGCGCTTCCTGCAAATGTCACGACTTTTTCAATCCTTATTGAGACTATCTAAAATGGCGCCTCGGCCAATAGATTTCACGATATTCGACGACCTCGATAATAAATAATTATTTTATAATGCATAATTTCGATAATTGTTCAAATACTGTAGTATATTATTACATGAGGGAGTAAACATTCCAAAACGATGCATTCGCGCGAAGGAATATGATCATCTCGAAATTCACCGGATGCATGTGCTTTCTATGGTCTGTCAAGATGTACTTCGCGACGCTGAAGAGCCGTTCGACCAAGTCGCTCGTTGGAAGGACAAACTTGAAGCAGCGGTACTTGCTTACTGGGAATTGCGGTAAATCGTGTATCCAATGATTGTAGCCGTGTATGTTTATCCATTTTTTGTTGAGAACGACATGATAAATAAAAAAAATGAGTATTTCATTAGAATAAAGAAAATCGCTACTGATCAATGAAGTGAATAAAACATCTAAAGGGTCCAAACACTTGTTGTTGCGTGGAGATCGTTGTTCACAACCGTCGCCTCCAACAAAATGGCTAGTTGACTGAACGTTTTGAACACTTTCAGACTATCCAAGTGAACTTGAACAGGTAAGTTGATAGTTGCATGTGCTTTGGGGGGCTTCCGGTCGGTGGCACGGAGCAACTCAGCACCGATTCGTGCAGCAATAATCCGCGGTAGAATATCGAAGGTGTCGGGTTTTACAACCTTGACATTCCCATAGGCAGCGTCCACGTTCCATGTGTCTTTGGGCCACTCGAAGTCAATTTCGATGGTTTGCTGGCTGGGGGCGATTGTGATTTCCACGATAGTGGCGTTTCGAGGCTCTACAAACAATACACAAATACTGACTTCTCCCGAAGGGTGACGGCGGTACTGGTAAATGTTGCAAGGGTAGCTGACAAATTTGACAATTCCATCGGATGTTGGAAAAGCCTCGTCACCAAACTCAAATGTCATGTCCTCGTGAACCGGAATTTCAGTCGCTTCGTAGCTAGGTGTTGTCGATTGCACTGCATACATTAGTGATTTTATGGATAGTGCAATACACAATATCTTACATGTTGCCCCATGTGGTAACATGGCCTTTCGGAAGTGGGCGCGAAATGCGTCGAAGCTGTACTGCTGGAATAATACGTGCTCATCGTAGATGTCACGAGCCTTTGTTGACGCACTCACACAACTCGATTGCACCAGGTCGTCGAGTAACTTCTGCGCCTCACATGGACGTGACATGTTCCATGCTACTCGTGTGGCCGCGCTACTGCGAGTCCTGCGTGATGGTTGTCGGTGCATTTCAAGAAGATTTCGATAATGAACGAGGATTGCGCGCGCAATTTCAAATCTATCCGGATAATGCTAGTACCTACTAGAGTACTAGATGTTCAAAATGTTCATTCGTAACGTTCTGTTGAATTCGAATTTCTTTCAATTCGGACATCTCAAATACTTTGACGCACGATATCTCAAATTTCTACCAAGGGATTATGAATCTGATGATGGATTTGTAATGCTTACAAGTGTATCAATAAACAACCGTTACTACAAGTACTTTGTACGGAATGCGCAGGATCTGCGCTGAATTTCACGTCAAACACAGACATTCATCGTGAAGGAGGACGAATTCGGCCTTTTAAGCACTGAGTTTCACTCTTTTCTGCGAGCTAATCTTGTATAATCTCAATGGATATTGAATCTATGCGATAATAAGTAGACAAATACGAGAGGATTTGCTTTGGTATCGCATATTCATCACGGTATCCTCGGACGAACACTCTTCTTCGTCTTGTTCACATGTTCGTCGTTTTGTGTGTGGACATCTGAATTCATTTAGTAGATACTACTACTACTATCTGTACTACTATATCCAAGATCATTTGTAAGTGGTGCTTAGTAGACACAAAACTGATAATAGTAAGCCCAGCTTCAACTTCAATCCGGATAACTGCGTTTCAAGAAAGCGCGCAAATTCGAAATCGATGGCAGGTTGGTTGACTCCGACCTTCTGGCACCATGGATGCCGCATGATGAACCGTCATGGTTCACCGCTAGAGACCAACTGCCGACGATACAAGGCTATGTTTGGGGTGACCCCCCTATGTGCTAGCCTTGTATGGACTATGGTTGAAGACCGACGCCCAGTGTCCTCGCGTCCAATCCACCTGCTCTGGGCTCTGCTCTTTCTCAAAGTATACGGTACTGAAGACGTTCATCACTGCATTACTCAAGCCGACGAAAAAACCTTTCGACGCTGGGTTTGGATTTGGGTTACATTAATTGCTAGTCTCAACGTGGTTGTACATCAACCTGCTATTAAAACTAATGTCATGCTAGATTCAGTGGGATCGCCGTTTGGAGTTGAATCGTCCAAGTGACAGGGCACTTGTGCCTCTCGATGGATCAGATTTCCGCATCCAAGAACAGATACCATTTGATCGCACATGGTACTCCCACAAGTTCCATGGTCCAGGCCTCCGTTACGAAGTCGGCATTTGCATTCGGACGGGCAACATTGTTTGGGTAAACGGAGGGCTCCCATGTGGGGAGTGGCCAGACTTACGGTTGGCACGCGATTCCTACATCAGCATGGTCCGCCGTGGTGAATTGACGCTTGGAGACAAAGGGTACAATGACCCCAATTACTTTATCTACCCATGCCCCCAACTGCAAAACCCGAGGCGCCACAAAGATATCATGGCTCGCCACGAGATCGTGAATAAACGCATGAAGCAGTTCAGCGTCTTGTCACGCGTATTTCGGTACAGTATTGATCTCCATCCTAAATGTTTTCATGCTGTCGCCAACTTAACTCAATTGTCGATGGAAAACGGCGAACCGCTATACCAAGTGTAAGCTAAATGAATTCAATTTAAATTTCCACTATTCTGTATTTCCCGTAACTCCCTGTTGGTCGTATTCGAGGCGTTTTGGAGCCAAAAGTTCGTCCGCGTAGCTCAACGGCGTGCTGGGTATTGCAACGCTACCAGGGTCCAATAGGAACATGACCAATCCAGCCTTCTCAGTAGCAGTCAGCTCGTCTTCGCGTAACGACAACACCTTCGCCACACCATTGTCAAAGTTAGGATAGTGGTGGATCTCAGCGTTCAGAGCCAGATATGGCAACGTTGGGTGCCGCAGGTAATCCATGAAACATGGTCCGTGCATCCGCCATGTCAAGATCTTCCGCTTGGAGTTGTTTTGTCACGCTTTCGAATTGCTCAGGCACATCGAAGAGCTTTTTCACAGGAGTATTCTGTCCGCTAAGCAACAACAGATCTCGCACCCCTGAGACCTACGGTAAAAATGGTAACAGCGCCAGATAGAGTTGGACCATTTGAAATGTCGATGACCATCGCGTTAGGTTTCGACAAACCGGCAATAAGTCAGTGTACTGTAGCGCGTAAGTTCTCCAGCTGGGCGAAGTCGCCAAGCCTCTTCATGACAGCGCGTATGAATACCATGTCGCTTTCGTAAGGCACCAAAAATGCCTTCAGGGCCAAGTTGCTTGACCATGAAGGCATTCTTGGAGCGCCCGTTTTAGCCGCCATAGAGACGTTGGTAAAACAATTGTCGCCAGTGACAAAGGCGAGATTTGCCAGCTCTTTGCCATAGAGGCCAAGTGTTTCCTCGATGAATGCGATGTAAGCGTCAGTATCCATGCTGTCGGGCTTCAAGAGTGGTGACATTGCGAGCAGAGGTGTATGGCGCACGTTGGCGACACCGTACGTTGCAAAGATCGCGCAAAAGTGCTTCGACCCGTCGGTCCACCCGTCACTGCAAATCCCAAAGACGTCGGGGAGTTCTGCTGCGATTTTGGCCTCCACGTTACGTGTGACCTTGTCCATTGCAGCCTTTAACGCCTTCACGCGTATGGGGGTCAGCCGTGATATATTGCGTGTTAAGGGGTTCTCAACCTCCGAAAAGGGTTGGTTGCGCTCAACAATCCACTGCACCCAGGCGTGCAGGTTGGTCGCCTTGGTGTCGACAAAACCAGTGAAGTGTCCACACGAGCAGTGCCTGTGACGCCTCGAATTGGGCAAGGTAGTCGGGGAGTTTTTTATCGAGGTGGCTCGTCAAGTTGGAGTACCCGGCCGATTTTGCTTTTGTTCGCTTGGTACCACACACCTTGCACTTGAACGTTATGTCGTCCAGAGCGACGAAGTAGAAGGTACATAGCTGCTTGGTTGTGTGTTCCATTCGTGTAAATCGAATGAGGATAAAATTTAATTGGACGAAGTTTGAAAATAGATTATCGATATCTACCGACACCGAAAATAGATAATTAGATCCATAAGAAATAGATTATTTTTGCTATCTTATCTAGATTATTATCTCAAAGATATATTATGTCCGAAGCCTGTTTTAAATAGTTGCGTTCAATACAAACATGGAGTAATATTTTATCTGGATATTGCACGTTCTTTCTTCGAGGGATAGGGCTCGATTACTCAATCATTGGCTGGCTACGAGGGATGGGGTTACCAGCACCGCTTATTGGGTGAATGGACCGATACCATCGTAAGTTTTTCTGTGTGCAGTTTTGGCTATAGAGAGGCCTGTGGGCCGAGAAAACAACAAAAACGATTTACATTGGGTTTATGGCAATCGGAGACCACGCTGCGCTGGCTGGCAAATTGAAAAGTCAGCACGTCCTGCCCACGGCGTGCCCACGTCGACTTTCATTTATGTTCTTACATGTGTATGATGCGTAATGATATTGTTTACCATGGTTTGCAATGTCGCCATGTTGTTAGTAGTAGTTACTGTGATGTGAAAGCCGTCTGGGTCTAGCTAGTGGTGTATGTATTATGCGGGATGCTCTTGGGGACAATCAGGGGACTCAAGTCCAGTCATTGTTATGTATGATATGTTGTCGACTGACTACTACGATGGTGGCTACATTTTGAATTGGAGTCGGGTCTTTGATTCCACCTTGTGCGACTTTTGCATTGAACAACCCAATGATTATATTGAGTGCCCCGATGCGGTGTTGCTCGCGCAGGACATACAGTACCGACCCACTGCTGCGAATATTTGGCGCAATGTCGTGTACGAAGCTCAAGACGTGCTGTTCGGCGAGCGATCCGAAGCGCAAGACATCGCCGTGATAGGATGGTGCTATGAGATCCAACTCAAGGCCATCGTGGAGGAACAGCTTCATGAAGCCAACGACCAACTTCGCCTCGGATTTCTTCTTGCGGTCTGCGCCAACCTGCCACATGGGGGTTCTTGAGCGTACCACTCGAAACACAGGTCTGCCAAGAACGTGGCGGCTGCCTTGTGGCGTTTCATTAGAACAGTGGCTTCGGCTTCGTGCGATGGCATGGCGATGGGTGGTGTTGGAGCGGCACCAATACCGACGTGGCTTCAACGGCAGCAACACGTAGGCAAAGTGCCTTGTTGATGACAACCAGTTCGTGGATCACGGCTTGTTGCTGCGTAATGGAGTCGTTCGCACGTGTGCCTTGTCCTTAATACGGTAATCCTCTTTTCCAGTCGATTCACGTAGGCATGAACACCTAGATCGGCCGCGACATTCGCCGCTTGTGGCGCGTCTTCAGTGCACGACGTCAACGCCACCAAAGGGTCAAGCAGGGAAAGCAGTGGCGTTCCTGATCCGATGGTGATCGTTTCGGCTGTCAAAACTTGAGGAAGGTTCGACAACATGGCGACTGACGGGGTAGCTTGAGTAAGTAGGGCTAATGCGATGTATAGCAGCAGACACGTGTACGGGTTATGGTAAGGATAGAGCGCAAACCGCTGCTCCTAGGACGTCTTCATGTGCACGAAAAGAATCGAAACTACAGACCCCGAAGTCACAGCGAGCTGTTGGCATTGGACAAGGGAAAGGTCTGAAGCACGGCCAAAGTAATGCCACAGCAGGACTAGCATAGAAGCATCTTGATAATCCTTTGAACTCTGAGCGTTGTGATGCAGCCACTGAACGAGCACACACAAGCCTTGCTTCGTGCAAGCCTCAGCTTTCTTCACAACGCCACCATGTTCACGCTTCAAACAATGACGCTCAAGCGTGCGCACCATCTTCTGCAGCCGTTCTTCGAGTGACACACGTAGTGATGGATTTTCCTCCAGCAGCCAGTTCTTGGTCTGTCTGTAGTATTGCATTACAGTTGACTTTCCCAACTTACAGCCGCGACTGCCTTCGTTAAAGGCAAGGTGGATGTCATACTTGTCCATTGCTGCCTTAAACACCAATGCCGTCGCATCCTGCCTGGGCAATGCAAGCCAACAAATGCTCGAACGGGACGTTTTCGGAGGCCACCACCGTTTAAATGCATTGAGTGCGTTGATGCGAGCCCTGGCAGTTTTCGCAGGTACAAGCTCATTATGCTGCAGGTAATCGGATGGTTGGGTACCAGTTACACTTAAGATATACTTCGAAGGACTACTGTACTGATTGGTAATGTAGGGTGTGAAAACAGGACAAAGTCCTGCATGTCGGAATATGAATCATTTCCAGTCAAATATTCGATCACCACTAGTTTGCATGGAAGGTGTGATATTTCAGATTCCATTCCGACAAAATTGTCGGAATATGTCGCAGCCGACACAATAGCAGTAGTCCTAACCCTATTCGAGTTTATTGGTCAAAATTATTCCGGATTCATTTTTAGTACCATATGATTGGTAGAAGGGGGAAACTGAGGCCATAGGTTGGCTAAAAATTGAGCATACAAATACTAAGTGACGTCTGAATTTTGTTCCATTGGATAAAATTATGAAGGTGTGGAACATGCATTACGATTTCCAACCACAACTCACGAGACCACCGATATATTTCGATCACCTCCATGATATTTCGTCGTTTATATTTCACCGAGCCAGCGGTACTAGTACAGTATACTGTAGTTCAACGAACTATCGTATAATTTCAGTTTTCGTCAATATATTTACCAAGATATCGTTTCTTAGTCTTTCCTTAAAATGCCCAACGCTACATACTTTCGTATCCATCAACCCTATTCCCACAACAAGCACTTCTCGGAAGGGTTCATGTCCGAGTCGACGGGGCACTGGAACGCTCGGGCAAACTCGGCGTTGTTTTGCAACGCCCCCGTCACGCGGAACCGATGGGGCGGGTGCGGGTCCGACAAAAACTGCCTGAGGCGGGCATCCGTGTCCTTGGAGCACCAGGATTGGGCGAACGACAAGTAGAACAACTTGTTGCCTGCTTCTTCCGTGTACTGGGACGGGAACTTCTTCAAGAACTCGTGGTACGCGCGGAAACTGGTCTTGAGCCCCCCGTTGTCCGCAATGCTCTCACCCAACGAGAGCTTGCCGCTGATGTTTCCCAACACCGCGCCTGTCACTTCGCTCGTTACGATAAAGTTGGCGTACTGGTCGCTAATGCACTGGGCCTTCGTCTTGAAAGTAGTGTTGGTGGCGCTCGACCACCAATTGTTCAACTTGCCGTCGCCATCGAAATTGCGGTTACTGTTGTCGAACCCGTGGGTGATTTCGTGTCCGATGACCATCCCGATGGCACCAAAGTTCTGGGCGGCATCGTATTTGACATCAAAGAACGGAGGTTGCAAGATGCCAGCAGGAAGCTTAACTTGATTCGTTTCCTTTATGTACTTTGCGGTCGTCTTGTGGGCAGGCACGCCGAACTTGCGCTTGTCCACAGGTTGGCCTTTCAGCTTCAACTTGGTGTCGATGTTCACTTGAGAGATCTTCCAGTGGTTGTTCAAATACTTCTTCGAATCCAACGTCAGGTTGGGGTACAACTGGGGCTTCTCTGGGCCACCCACCAATTGCACTAACTTGGACAGCTTCGTTTGCGCGTTGGCGCGGGTCGAGTTGTCCAACCAGTCGGCGGTGGCAATGCTAGTGGAGAAGGATGACTTCAATGCCTTGGCCAGTTCGTCGACCGTCTTGGCTGTATCAGCCGACCACACCGCGTCTAAGAAGTACTGGCCCAAGAGTTCCCTCACGGTGTTGCCCGACTCAGATACGCAGTACTTTTCACGGGTTGGTTCCTCCTTTTCACCATTGATAATATTGCCGAACAAGTTCCAGTTCGCTGTGCGGAATTCAGGGGTCAAGTGGTTGGACGAGGCGTGGATGAGCTTGTACTCCACGATGGTGCGGAGGTCGTCCAAAGTCGTGTTCTTTAACAGCGCTTCCGTCTTGTCAAAGTAGGTCAAGTCGGAAAAACCCACCCAGTCATTCGACCCACCGGACTGGTCGTGGACGTTGAAGCCGTTGGCCTTGAGCCACGAGCCGATGAGCAGTGGGTACTTCTGGTCTAGCTCGTAGTACGTAAACGCAGTATACGGAGACACAACGGCTTCCATCTCCTCGAGCTCGTTGTTGCGGCCGAAATGGACCACAGTTTGCTCAAAGTGGATGATCAACGGCACCGCAGCCATCGCTTGTTCGGCAGTGTAGCCAGCCAACTGCAACACCGACGTAATGTACACCTCGTAGTAGGGTTTGAAGAACGACCACTCGCCAGGGTAGATGTAGAACCCGTGAGACAGCGACAGGGGGGATCGGACACCGAAGAGGGCGTTCTTGGTTGGGTTGTCGTAATCAGCTCTGGCATTGATGTCGAAAAAGGCAGGGATGCCGTTCTTGGCCAATTCACCAGCCACGATGAGGAGGTCCAACGTGGTGTTCGCCGACCGAATGGCTTCGAACGAATCGGTCAACGGAGTCAGGCCGAGCGATGACAGCGTAGCCGTGTCCAAACAGGAGTTGTAAAACTCTCCAAGCGTGGACTTGTTGTCAGACAAAATCTTCGTCAACACGGCTTGGTTTCGGATGGTGATTTGGGAGAACGACGTATCGGTGAAGGTTTTGCCCGGGGGGATCACAGCTTCCTTGTGCCACGCGCCACACGCATATTGATAAAAGTCGTCGCAGGGGTTTGCGGAGTAGTCGATGAGCTTGGTCACAGACTCAGGGAGTTCCGTGACGGAGCCAGCCGTGGTGGTAGCCGTCAATGCGCTGAGGGAGACGAGGACTTTGACCATCGTAGCCCGAAAAGGAAAATGAAGTTGGCCAAAAGTGTCAACCATTGACAGTGAAGTGAAGGCCAGGCGTGCAGGTCTTTCAAACAACCAACCGGATTCACATATGGAATATCCTTGACCAAGCTCCTAAATGACCAATTTATGATGGGCACGGTTACACCTACACACCATATTCGCTACCTATGTATCTGTGCCCAAGCATTTTCCTTTCCCAATACTTTCACGCCCTGACGCATTGGCTATGCACATCTGTTAGACATAAGCTGTCAGGACACAAAGTTTGTTACCCTGGCAAGTGTCAGAATATATCACGCATTCGAAAGGTCTCGATATGTAGCTCGAAGAAATGTGGCCCTGCCACTCGACAATCAAACCATAGATGTAATATATGGACATTGGAGGCCATATTTTGGTCATCCATTGGCAAGAGTACAGCGGGCTATGTACTCTACCTCCATGTGTTGGATGATACAGGCAAGGGTGACGTAACGCTTGAAGAAGCTATTGTACTGTACGCGTGAATGACTTGCGATATCTGTGCACTAGCCAAAGTATTTGTTGACTTGACTCACAAGTTTTGTCTAAAACTCTCAAACCCAACGAAGAGTGTGCACAACCTCAGGTGGCACTATAAGCTGTACGAGATTCATCACTAGGAACGCACGCGATGAGGAGACGTGTGTTGCTACTGATGCTAACTGCATTGTACAAGACCATATCAGCTCGACGAGGATTGCCAAACTGAAGGCAACTTGTCAACTCCATGTACTTACTATGAGTCGATTCTGGTGCACCATATCATGTTGCCCTTCGTCGTATTCTTGTACTGTAATATTGAATAAAACTGTCATGAGGACGAGGAAAGAGGTAGCACTGAGGAAGGGGGCGAGAGCACGAGGAACACGAAGAACACTTGTGTGCTCGGGGGCAAAACTGAAAGTGAGGATTATCCGACTGCTTACAGCCAACCAAAGGGAACACCGGATAATATCCTTATCTGGTGTTTTGTGCCGTCGGAGCCAAAAAAGGCACAAAATCCGGATACAATCCGGATGTGCCAAAGGGGCCAAAGCAGACAGGCCAAAGTGCCCCCTAAAAATACATCAATCATATGCTTTTTTTGTAACCAAAACAATACAAACTCTCATATAAATTATCCATCAAAATCATCCACAACTTTTATCTGGAACAGGGAAGTACTAGTTTGTACCTGAGAACGACGTACATGGTTTTGGAATCGCTGATTTGATCACATGACGACAAATTGCTCGCGCATAATATTACTATTAATACTACTGTAATTAGTTATAAAATCAATGGTGGGCGATAAGAATGTCAACTCCATTCTGCATACTAGTAGTAGTACTACGTAGTACTAGCAATGGAGTACTTTGCATACGTAGTACAAGTACTAACGTAAACAATCAATTTAAGACGCATCAGAGGAAGGCGGCTGGGGAGAACTTTCAAAGCTCCACGCTCGTTCAACATTTTTTACCTCTGAAACTTAGCTGGATTAATGGGGAACAACCTCATACCAAAATAATTGGTATGAGCCATTGGAAATGTACCGATACCACAAATTATATTGGGTATCGGTACACTTTCAATGGCTAAATCAACAAAAACCAAGCAATTTTAATCCAAATTTGACTATCAATTTAAGACGCACATGTTTATCTTGAATATTATATACCTATTTGCATATAAATTTGGTGGTTAGGTTATCAAATTGTAGCAGGAAGCAAATCAATTTCCATATTAGGTTATGCATTCACAAGTGTTCCATATTCCATCATTCCAAATTGAGTTGGGAATCCAAAGTGGTGCTTTCGGAGGATACTTGAGGTACAATACATCAACAAAAATATCGTTCACATTCAATAACTAGACTACGACCGAATCCACAAGCAAGAAAGGCTCCACTACGCCGTCTCTGGGCTGCTCATGGTTGCCGCTGCTATCGCTGTCTGCGTCGTCCACCACGTTGGCCCCGTCGACAAGACCGATGCCCGATGGCTGCTACTGTGCGTTGAGTGTATAAATTTGCACGGGTTATACCGCGAAAAATTTACGACTTTTGATTGGTTCTTGCACATACGTCTTAAATGGATTGTTTACGTTTACATTGGAGGACTTCCAAAACCTACACAAATGAATTTGTGTGGACCTTGACATAAAAAAAAATCGAATAAAAATATGTGTTTGACCTCTCGCAATTTGTTGAGGCTGTTTTTTGGTTTCAACAAATCGTGGTGTTTGTGTTACACATCGCACAAAATTACTTTGATTGTTTATACAAATATTAGGAGGTAAGCCACCGATTGGACTTCACGTTCCCACCAATAATATTCGTGGACATCGCGTTTCAACTTCCAACGAGTCATGTCGAAAGCAAGCAAAGGGCGCGGTAAGAGTTGGTAAACGGCGTCGGTTGATCTCTTGCTCGACCACGTCCAAGAGATGCAAATTGCGCGTGATATTGATACCAAGGCAGACGTCCTCCCACTTACTCGTGCTTAAAGTAATATAAGATGTAATTTAACGCATCAGGTGTTACCGACACAGTCGCGACAAATGACTGTGCATCTCGGGCCTTGTACATGGTGTACCATGGACTCATCTCTTGGGATTCAAAGAGTGCAACTGACTTGATGAAGTTTCGCTCTTTCAACCGTCTGCGGATTCGTAGAGCATACATGATTCGACGTAGGCGCTGCGGTCGCGAGGCCACAAGCACCAAAGTGAGGTTCATGATATTTGTTACATGAAGCGTTTTGGTGCTCGTTGCCATTCAATTTTATCCAATAAACTGTTGATTCAAATTGATTTTACCCAATAGAATTAGGAAAAATTTGCTACTTGCGTGGGTTTTGGTGGCCCTGGTATCGCGTGACGTGACGAAGCAAATTTGACCACAATAATGATACACATCATATCCGGACAAATATAGTTTGTGTCGGCGATTTGTGTAGGTTTTGGAAGTCCTCCATTGTGCTCCGAGTATGAGTAGCACTTGTAATTTAATCCGGCATGGTTCGTGACGCTATGCCATAATAAGTGAATGTACTGGTATTGTTTACTTTGCATGTGCCAAGTTTCGCACGTACTTTGAGGAGGATGACGTATTCATGTGACGCCACTCAAGTCAGCAAGATCGAGACCTTTGGCATCTCAAGTCAGCACGATTGAGTTCAAAAATAGTAGTTGCAAATTCATAGTATTATGCTATATATTTATCTAACTACTGGACTTGTTGCCTGTTCATGTTCACATCCGACCGCGACACTTGGGTGAACCACACTTGATGAACCGCGAGTTGTTACCATAAACCGTGGCGTCCACGTACATACTTGGAGAGAGCTGCATGAAGTAGTACTCGGGCACTTGGGCGTAGGACATGTTGCGGAAACGTCGGGCGAATTCGTCCTTGCCGATGGCTTCACACATGTACTCTATACCGTGTTTGGCCTGCGTGAACAGGCGCAGACAGGAGCAGGCCAAATCCCTTCACGGAGGTGTGAAAGAGGCTATGCTTGGCAGCCAAGTCCTTGTCGAAACCTTGGTTCGCGCATAGCGTTCCCATGCGTAATGCAGAGGACAAGTATTGTTCTTGGTCACGTTGATACAGTGGGATGGTGCAAAAGCCAGGGGGTGGTTGCGGGTGAAACGGAAAGTAAATTAGTTTACTGTTAGTTTCCAGTGAGAACAACTGGCTCTAAAGGCTAGGCGGACTAGCTAATGACTAGCCAATCAGGACACGGCATCCTAATGATTTACCGTGGATATGGCTGGCTATCTACTATCTGAGGAAAAGCCTCTAAAAGGCACAAAAACCTCCTACTAGCTGCAGCCAATACTGCTACCTGAGGCTTCAGGGCAGTGGTGATGTTCATGACGGAACAGGGTGTTCTGACTGCCTCCCAACAACTCCACGCAATGTCACCCGAATCAGGTGCCCATAGTGCAGCAAGAGGCTGACGGTTAGACTCAGTGAGCGTAACCACCTATGGTTACACCGTCTTATGTCCGGGACTAACCACGTCGGACACCCCTCTTAGCGGGTCCCTACCAATTGGTCCTTCCGCACGACATGCCGGGGAAGAGACCGGATGGATCGAGTAACCACCGGGATGCCGTCATCCCCCGTTGTCTGACCTGTCACGGTTGGAGCGTCCTTCGTACATGACGGGACTGGTCTCGGGCTGAGAGGGCGGAGTTTATGCTCCTTGGTCTGGGCCAAAGGGGTCGGAGGTCTGCAGCTGCTCCACTCTTAGTTTACTGCGCAGTGCGCAGAACGTTGTAATGTCTAACGGTTTGGTGAAGATATCCGCGACTTGGAGTCGTGTATCTGTGTACTCGAGTCGAAACACTTGTTATTCGACGAGGTCGTTGATGAAATGGTAGCGCACATCAATATGTTTGGTGCGCCCATGATGACTAGAGTTGTTCACTATCTGGATGGTGCTTTGATTGTCGTCATGGAGGGTAATAGCCGAGGTGATGGGATGACCCATCTCACCTGCTGTCTGCTTGATGTACAAACATTTATGTGCTACTGTACACAGAATCATAAGTTCTGCCTCGGTAGTCGAGAGAACTATGCTGCGTAGTCTCTTAGCGATCCATGAGATCGCAGAGTTGCAGTAGAATGTCACAAAGCCGGCGACGCAGCGACGAGTGTCAACGCAATTAGCGTAGTCACTGTCAGCAAATGCGTGCAGCGGAGTGGGGGCTTCCAAAAATACTCTTAGACAACTTCTCAGACACAATTTTATTCAGATGTAAGAGCGCTCTCAGACTAATCTGAGAAGACATCTAAGATGGAGCTTCCATGTGCGCTCTCCAAAAATATCTCAGGCAGATTTTATTCAAACCAGCTCTATTCATCAAAATGGTTTCAAGCTTCCTGTTTCTTTGCGCTTACGAGGACAACCGCCGACGCGCGGTGCTGTCTTGCATGCTTCTGCTTCGCATACGGCCATTCCTCCGCGAGCGAAACATCATCCGCTCGATTTCACTGTGCTACAATCAACTGGATAGTCCATGGTACATTATGTACCACAGCCGCAACGTGCCATCGTTCATCGCAGCTGTGTCAATTCCACCAGCCACCTTTGACGATCTCTTTGCTGCATTCGACAAATTCTACATGGTACAATCTGGTGAGGGTCGGCGAGGACGACCGACTCGAATACATCATAAGCATTGCGTGCTTGCACTTGTCCTACACGACTACACCCACGCGACAGAATCGAAAACGTTGTGCGAGTTGTTTGCCGTGCCACCATCAACTTTGTCGAGGGTTTTATCAAATGGCGAATGGGCCCTGTCATTGGCTCTGAAGGACATCGAGACGCAGGTATACGCTGGCCGTCGTTTGAGCAGCAGAATGTATGGTCTCAAGCCACTGAACAACGCGAGCCACTGGTTCAAGGGGTTTTTGCTTTTGTGGATGGCAAAAGTCTACCTGTTCAAGAACCGTCGTCAGCAGATTTACAAAATGAACTGTACAATGGTATGAAATATATACTCAATAATTCTTAAATCATAAATGGTAGCATATTCTTTCTTTATGTACTTGTTTGCTCGGGATATTTAGTACGTATATATTCCTGTCAAGTTAATATGTTGTTTTAACAGGGTAGCTTCATTCTGTGTTCGTGACAAGTGTACTCTGCTACGGCGTCGACGGCACATTGATCTGGGGTAGGCATAATTGCCCCAGATCATGGAATGATGGTGAGATGAGTCGCTGGTTACAAGACCGCCTTGCTGACAGTCGATTCTGTGCACCTGGTATGAAAGTCGCCTCCGACTCTGCCTTTCCTGTTAATGGGCAGTGTACCGGTCGAATTGTTACACCGATCAAACAAGGAGATCTCGAAAGAGTATCCCCCGACTGTCGGCTTGGACTACAAGCCATGAGCAACGCAATAACCTCGCTACGACAAGCCGCTGAGTGGGAAATGGGTGCTGCTGTGAAAGTGTACCGTCAACTGGATCTAAAGTTGCCCTACAATCCTGACTTACGTGGGCGACGTTTACGAAATATATTTCGCTTGTACAATTTTCGAGTAAGGCACACAGGAATTGGCCAAATAAAATATGTGTTTGGAGTTTGAATTAATTGGACTCGTAATGCTATTTAATCTTGATGGATTTGAATAAAATGCATTATATCAATTATCGTGAAGTAGTTTAATCTACTACTTTTTTGGCGTATCTCCAAGCAATTTCATCATGATTGCCATCTGGAATTGTTCTTGGCGAGCGCGGTACTCGTTTTCATCGCTCAGTCTGCGCTCTTCACGCTCATCACGCAGCAACTGTTGCTGATATTCTCGCTCTTCGCGGGCGATGTCTTGTTGCCGCTCTTGTTGCCGCTCACGTTCTTCGCGCTCGTCTTGGCGCTTTTCTTTGCGATCTTCCATAAGACAAAACATCGACATCATGTCATTACTCGCTGATTGTTGCTTGCCGGCCTGGTCAATAAATGCATCCAAACTTTGGCGCCGTTTCGCCACCGCAGACAATGAGGACGCTGATGGCGTTCCTTCCGACACCTTACTAAGCCGCTTCCCAAGTTGGCGTAGACTATCTTGAGACAACCCTGAACGGTTTGGCTTTTCTTTTAAAGACGTCTTTTGTCGCTTTAGAGGAAGAAACGTTTGGCTTGTGTCAATTTCTTCCTTGAAATCGACGTTGTCGGTGACGTCCATCTGACTGTCATCATTGTCGCCTTCTTCCGCGACGCTTTCCGAGACATTCACATCCGGCGTGACGTCGAGAGTTGTCATGTGGTCGACGTCTTGGTCGAAGTATGTTTTGAGACTATCCGCATTCATCTCGCCTTCGTCGCCCAAGACCTCGACCGCCGCTCGACTGTCGATGTCACGCTGAATGCGCTTGGCTCGGACGACGAGTGGTGGACAGTCTGGGTCACCAGTTGGTTTCTTCACCGACTTGAGGAACGTAAATTTCCGTTTACACGCCTCCCAGTCCCGTGCAAATGCCACGTTGTTGTGCGCGTTAAACTGCTGGGTGACTTTGACCCAACCATTATGACCAAGTGGGACGAGATCCTGGATGCAGTCTAGCAGGATTTCGACGTCTTTGTCGTTCCAGTTTGGCGCTGATCGCTTCGAAGCAGCTCGGGTGGCCGCTTTAGTTGCCATTTTTGTTTTTTGAAACTGACGTCTGAGATCTAATGTTCTTACATGTACGAAGACGATTTTTTGGTCTTCGCACATCTGAGGTCGACTTAGATTGGTCAAAATTGCAAGTCTGAGCTTTTCTTATATTTGGCGTCTGAGGGTATTTTTGGAAGCCCCCCAGTGGTGACATTGTGTTCACCACCCAAGACGAGACCGTAGTCGATCGTGCCTCGAATATAACGAAGTGCTCGCTTGGCTGCCTGCCAATGGACTGGGCCGGGGTTCGTTAAGAACTGACTGAGCTGCTGGACGACGTAAGCCAAATCTGGTCGGGTGCTAATCATGAGGTACATGATGCTCCCGACGACAGATCGGTACGGCTTGTCCACCATGT